AAATCTGCTTGATTTCAGTTCCTTTCCGCATGGCATGGATATGTTATGACATGATTCTCTTACTAGCCTGTGGGACTGCATTATCTTTTTAAAAGAGATATTCTAGTAAATTAACAGCCATATTATAGTCTTAACATCTTGATAGTCATGTAACGTTTTTTGAGATTTTTCTATACTAATGATAGTTTAAAAAATGGTGAGTATTTCTATTAATAGGACTAATACTCCAATTATAAAAAAATGGGTTTGCTTCTTTTCTTACATCAGTGAAAAGCAAAAACAACTCGATAGGTGAACATTTCTGCTTGTGTAGAACAACCTGTCAAAGCTCCATTCTCTTTGTATGGCATCAGATAACAACTTCTAAATCTATGAGCCACTGTCTGGTATTATCGCTCGATGTGCAGATTCCAATTGTCCTGTCTGGGCATTTGTAAAGATTGTAACGTTCGATTAAGTGCTGTGCTACTTGCTGGACACTGCATTCACACAAGAGGCTGTCTAAAATGTTCATTTTGTAAAGTGTTGTTTTGAAGTATCTGTACCCAGATTTGTCTGTTGAGCTTGACCCATGCTTCTCTGTCAAATTCGTGCCCCTTGGTGTTGGTGTAAAATTCTGTAGGAATAGGTCAGCTCTTCCTCAGCAGTTGGCCTACTCTGTTGCTGCTCAGAGGTTTGGTTCAGCATCTCTAGTCTCTTCCAGAAGTTTGTGGGCCTTCATGTGTAATTGGTTTATGACCTGTAAGATTCTTAAGCTTCCATCCGTTTGGCTCTTCAGTTAACAGTTGATGGGGCAGGTGACTTTCATCCTCTCTTGCCTCTGTTGCCAGTAATGATGGTTTAAGGTCTATCTTATATCATTTGGTCTAACCCCTAGAGAACAGGGAGTACACTAGAGAACAGGGAGTACATCTGTGTGTGTGTAGGTTGTGCAGCCTGTTGAGTCTGAAAACACTGTTAAATACAGTGTTGAGCTTTTTAGTGTAACACCTGGATCATATAGGAGCACAATATTTTGCTGCAGCATATACCATTGCGAGTGCAGTGGTTCTAACCGCTTTGAAGTTGGCAACCTGTGTCATGCTGGCTAAACATTTTAAGGCAGCTACCTGTTCAGAGACTTTACTGCTGGCCTTCTGAATGTGATGTTTATAGGTGAGCGAACGGTCTAATATGACTCCTAGGTAGGTTGGGTATGCTCATGTGGAAGGATGCGGTTGTCTACTTTGATATTCAGCATGCTCTTGGCTTGATTATCTGGGTAGAAGAGTGATGATGATACTGACTTATTGCTGCTCTACTCTAAGTGCCACTTGTGGAGATATTCAGTGATGAATTCCATGTCATCCAGAACTCAGTGTCTTTTCCAGTTCTATTATGTCAATTCCTTGGGCTACAAGAGCAACATCATCAGTGTATATGTATTGCTTGCATGTTGTGTGCAGAAAGACTGAGATATATACATTGACTAGTACTGGGCTAGCACTGACCATTGAGGAACTCCATTTTTCAGGAGTTCATACCCTACTTTTTTCTCCTTGGTTAGCAGTGAGTTTAAATGATCCACTGGAGCTCATGTTCATGATGAAAGCACATAATTTGCAGTCAGGTATCATAGAGTACATTTTATATCTGAGGCTGTGGTGCCATACAGTATCCATTGAAGCCAGTGGAATCATTGAAGCCAGTGGAATATGTTTGTGCCTGGTGGGTATCTGATCCAAAGAGTAAAACCGAAGTGCCTGAGAAGAGAATCAAACCAAATGGATATCAAGTTATAAGAAAACTTTCACATCCAAAGCAAACCTGATACAATTTGACCTTTTTAGTAGTTTAGATTTAGATAAATATTTCCATTACTGAAAAAGGATTTTGCATTTGCCAATTTCCTAAGCAAGTCCTTGTAGAACTTAATCTAAAGAACCCTTGGGGGCAGCTGGGGAAAGGAGGGAATTTTGTCAAAGCTACATTTTGTCTGTACCACAAAACCAGCCGTGTTTAAAAATGAATGGGAAAGATAGGGCCAGTGGTAATGTAAGATGGTTTTAGTCTTGCATATTCAGACCACAATTATTATACTCACTTTTCAGCCCAGGGTATATAGCAGGTAAGAACATGATCCTCCCATATAGTTAAGCAACATATTTTTCTCTGGCTTCTGGTGCTTGCTTTTTTCACACCATCGTTAGGTATAGTTAGGGTGACCCTATGTCCTGGGCAAACTGGGGAAGTTCTGGCTTCTGTAGTTTGGTCCCGGCCAGTTGGTTGGGTGACATCTGCTCCAGTCCTCCTGCCTTGCTCTCACCCAGCAGCAGCAGTGCCTGTCCGCCTGCCTGTCTGGTGCACCATGCTGCTCCATGTCCTCACAATCTCTGCTCTAGGACATTTGACCAACTGGCTGGGGTCAGACTACAGACTGCTGGGACTGCCTGGTTTGTCCGGGACGTATGGTCACTCTACGTATAGTTGATGTTCTGGAGAAGTTAAGGGGTGGACAAAGGATGTGTCAGAGCAGAATGCGGCAGAGCTAGAACTAATGCACATCAGGGATCCTGGATGATGATATGTATTCTTGGGAATGTAACAGGGTGCCGTCCCAAGGCCGGTCCAATCGTTGGCCCACCCACCTGTCTAAGGCAGTCTGCCCACCTGTCTCATCTGCCACGCCTTTCTTGTGACTTAATAAGAAGTTGTTTATAGGGTGTGAGGCTGCCCTTTTACTGCCCAATGCCAAGGGAGTAATACATGGCTTTGTACTGCCCTCACACCATGTCCCATGCCTCGCTGATGGCATCACTATGTGGCCCCCCACTGGGCCTCGCTCCACACCTGCCTGATGCTTGGATGCCACCTGGATCCCTCCTCCTCAGGCACTACTCTCCGCTCTCATTCTGGCCTGCAAAACTCCCTATGTCCTTTTCCCTTGTGGCAGTGGCCCCCTCCAGGACCTTTGGTCTCACTGGCCCTGGCCTTGCCTCTAGGCTGTCCCTTGGAGTGGACATTCTGGCCCTTTGACCAGTCTGGTCCTGGCCCCAGCATGGGCCAGTTGAGGTTATTTTGGGTAGGTTACTGAGCTGCTTGCCCTCACACTTCCATATGGGTCTGCCTTCTTGGGCCCCTCCAAACACAGCTCACTTTCTACTTAGGCTGGCCTACGCGCGATCCTTTGGGACCCCCCACACGGATCCTACTCTACGCGGCCCACATGCAGTCCTTCGGGCCCTTCATACAGACCCTACTGTATGCAGCCTACTCACTCTCACCCCCACCTCACCAGGCCCACTACACCACTCCCTCACTGGGGCTACTAGGCCTTACACCCGTTGGGCCTCAGGCCTCTGATTACATGCCTGGGCCCTTCGCCCGTCCCTTCTACGGGTAACCCAGCAGCTTGCGGGGGCTGAGGCTATATGGCGCTCCATACTCACCTTTCACTAGGGAGGCACTAGTGTGGCATTTTCTGGGGACCACCCTGCCACAGGCAGCCCCACCACAGCATCCAGCCCTAGCAGGGTGTCATTTTAGGTCATTCCCTAGGCCCAGGAACCTCTTCCATCCCCACTAAGACTTGTTCTTAGTTCTTTGATAAGAGCATGTTACCATATTTATATTGGTCATCCTGTAGTATATAGTCTTTCTCAATGTCTCTTTGTCCATCTCTTAGTGGTCCTTAGTGGATGCCATCAAAACTGTATACTATCTGTATCACGGTGAAGAAAAACTACAACTCCACTATTATAGATGTGCGGGCCGGGAGCGACCCGAGCCCTTTTCGCGCTGCACGCGGGCTGTGGCCAGCAGCCCGGGCACGCCGGGGCGGAGAGGGAAGGCCTTCGAGCTGGAATTAGGCACGGACGCGTAGCGGTAGTTTAAAAGATTGTTTACTTACACCGAGATGGCAGTGGTGTAGGCTGGAAAGCTTGCTTAAGTTGCGGTTACAGACAGGAAAGAAGAGAGGCGGACAAGAGTTCTAAACTCGTGAACTCTAGCCCAATCCGGCTGAAGGCTCTGAACACGCGAACCTCTGTTGCCTGCTTTAAATGCACTGGGTCTGTAAGGATCCGCAGCGCTTAGAGATCTTCACACAGCGTGAAGTCTCCTCCTCCCTTGTTCGTGGAGTCCTCCAACTTGGGTGGAAACCACTCAAGCCTTTTATACGGCTAGCAAGCCAATCACTAACCGCCACGTGTGAATAATTTAGAACTGGCCAATAATGGGACTTGAATTAGCATACAAATGGCGGGAACTCTTTGCAACGAGCATTTCTGTGCTGCAACAAAGAAATGCACCCTGCAAAGAAAGCTTCAAATTGGCGGGAAACTCGTTCCTTGCACCGGGGCTCTCTTTTGCAGCAGAAAACTCCACCGTGCAAGGAAGCTGCAATTTAGCGGGGACAATTTAGCAGTGCCGAAGCACACACAAACAAAAATCACACCCTTTGGGTTGTGACAATAGAATGATACAATAAATATGTCTGGATTTTTGCATTAGTCAGACACATGAATGTTTTGTTGAGATGTTATTAGCATTTTGAAACCATGGTTCATAAAACAATGAAAAATTGTATTGGTCATTGTCAGATATTTGTACTGAAAACTTTATCTACCATGGGCACCTATACATGTGCCCAATGCCTGCTCCAACTGCTTAATCTAGTCTGCTTGATTGAGTCTGCTGGATTAATTGAGTCTGTTGGAGCGTTCTTGTTGCTGACCAAGCTTTAGTTAAAGCCCCTCTGCTGCCATTTTGAAGTGTGGGATGCTGAATACAAGAGATGCTGTGAGAGTTTTAATTCTGCTGTAATGGAAAAGCTCCCTCGCACCCCAGAGCATGTGTAAAAGATGCCCTATATTACTCTTACTCTCTGTTTCAGAAAATATTGTAGGCAAAGTGTAGAATATCTTTTAAAATGTTCATTCATTTCAGAACTAAATTGGTTACCTGATGCTTGTTTTACACAGTAGTATCTGGTATTATGTTTCTGCTTCCTTTTTTTTTAGGTCTTCCAAGTTGCATATGTCATCATCAAATCTGCTAATGCTCCCCGACCTGGAAACTGGATTTTAGAACGTTCTGTAGATGGCACAAAGTTCACACCATGGCAATACTATGCAATTAGTGACACAGAATGCTTAACTCGTTATAATATTACACCGAGACTTGGACCTCCTACTTACAAAAGAGATGATGAAGTGATCTGCACCTCTTATTATTCCAGACTAGTTCCACTGGAACATGGTGAGGTATGCAATCTTGTCTGTCTATGTCCTTGTCATTCACAAAATGTGAATGTGAGCTGACTGCAGATTTCAGAAATGTAAATGACCGTTGACAAATTTGTCCCTTTTGCTCTTATCAGATGGTCTGGATTTCCCTTAACAACAGTATCTCTTTCTCCTTAATTCATATAAAGACTTAAAAAATGTTAAGAAAAATATCTCCATGCCTCTGCATGTTCTAGCTTGCAACCTTTTTATTGTTTCTCTTCACATAATTTGATGTTGGATAGTAGTTATGAATGATTAGACACTTCATTTTGAGAAAATAAAGCATGCCGATGTTGTGTACCGCTAAGTTTTAATATTAAAAAGAAAATCACATCTTTCGAAGTACCTGGTTTTGTAAGATAAAGTAGCAAACACTCTAAAGTATTCTGCACAGCTGAAACTCCCAAACAAGTGTTGGCATTGTTTCCCAGGCAGAGCATAATTAAAAGAGCTCTGAATTGTGCAGGCTCACTGTTGATTGTTCTTTCTTTTAACCAAGCCTATTCATGGTAGTTGTTTAATTTATTTCAGAGAGGCAGCAACATAATGAAATAATGCATTGAAACCAATAGTTAAGTCTACTGTGAATGTCCCCCTTATGTGGTAGGAAACCCAGTATTAGACAGTGGAGACTGCTATTAACTCCTTCATTTGGTATAAACCAATAACTTTTTATCTGTAAATTAATAGAAATTGGACTGCACATAATAAAGAATGAAAGTGTCACAAATCTCTTTTTCTTCATGTGTTAAATTACAATTATGGTTCCCATAGTGAAGGAAAACAAATAGACCTTAGGTGATTTCAAGTCAAGTTTATTTTAATCAAATATTTATTATAGGGCTATGGAGCATATACACCACTGGGTCAGATTGGTCACACAGAGAAACTTAACACAGACCAAACAATTAATCAGAAAGCCTTTTATATTCTTTGTACGCAAATGCCAAAAAATAGCTCCTCTTGTAATGGAGTTCAGATAGATAACCCAGCTCAGAACTAGAAATGGCTATTAGTGTTTGAGAGGGGTGGGGTCTCAATCTGGATGGGACACAAAGTGAAATTTTGTTCTCAGTTAGTTACTCTGAGGGCACAAGATGCTGACTGCACAGTAGTCCGATACTGCACAGTAGTGTCACGTGGCAAGAACCATGACGCGATGCTATTGCACAGTAGTATTAGGTTACTGCAAAGCAGTGTCACAAAAAAGATGTTCTTTGGTGCTACTGCACGGTCATTTAGTACTTGTATAAACAAGCACTAAATGACTGCACAGTAACGACTGTGCAGTTAGCGTCTCGTGTAGATGCAGCCTGATAGGATGTAAATGGAATGGCAGCAGTATACCTAACAGCAACATTTCTAGCTTCAGTATATCTGAGGGTAGTAATGAAATAATGTGATAGCCCCATTTTTTTAGTTTGTTTGGGCTTTTAAAGTCTTCTTAGTAAGATGTTTGTTCCTATAACCAGTTCCCACTTAAGCTTATAGTTAAATTTATGATCTCCCTCTAGATCCACACATCACTTATCAATGGTAGACCTAGCGCTGATGACCCTTCACCAAAGCTATTGGAGTTTACTTCGGCACGATACATCCGTCTTCGCCTGCAGCGTATCAGAACCCTTAATGCTGATCTTATGACTCTTAGCCACCATGATCCTAAAGATGTTGATCCCATTGTTACCAGAAGGGTAAGCTGGCTGACCATTTACTTATATTAGTTATTCAACATAGTGGACTTTGTAGTCTGAATGTGTTCTGTCCACCTTGATGAAAGATATGAATCTCACTATCCCATTTCATGAGATTTGTTACCATTTGTTGCCTTATCTGTGAGAATACCGACAACATTTAGTCTGCCATAAAAACTGTTCCAAAGAAACATTTTTCAGAGATTTTTCCTTCAAAATTACTTGCTCTTTAGCTACTGAACATGAGGTGGCATCTCTAGCATTTTATCTGTAATGATAGATATATGTGATTTGTCTGATGAAAATGTCACTTGCAGTCAAAGGTAAACATTTCTGGGTACTCCTGATTTATTGAATATTTCAGTTGCTAATATACTGTAGGGTATTGAAACTGATTCAAAATGAAGTTGCTTACACTTATCTGATGAGAACAGGGAATTTTAATCAATAAGTACTAATCAATGAATAACTAAGTACTAATTAATAATTTAGATAGACACTTAGAGCTTTCAATTATGATTTGATCCTCAAAACTTCCATGTTATGCAGCTGAGGAAAGTGAGGCACAGAGAGGTTAAGCTGACTTGTTCAAGCCCTCATAGGAATTCAGGGTCAGACTCAGTTTACAGTGCCTTCTATCTTTAACTGGCTGCAGTACTGTAAGAGAGACTGTACACCTTGATTGGTGTCTCCCTTTCTGCTTTGTAATTTAATTTTTGCTCCTCTGTTTTACTTGGACATGACCCATTTCTAAAAACATCAATGATTTCATGTACTCTCTTACAAATTCTTTCAGTTGTGAGTGTCTCCCTTCTGGAGGGCAGGGGAACACAGAGAGTGTCTCCACTAAACAGGTTCTCTCCCTTTAAGAATGTCACCAGATCACTAATCTGAAATGAAAGGAGAGTCTTTGTTCTTCTCTGGTATTTGCAAGAGGGTATACCGTCTCACTATCATCTAAGAAGCCTCAGTTCAAGATCAATGCCAAGGTTTTCTACAGCCTAGATGGGAAAAAAGTAAAGAACAAAAGGAGCTAGCTTGCTTCAATTCCTGCTCCCTTCAAAGGAAAAAACCCATTGGTACAAATTTTACTGTATACAAAAGTGCCTCCTGCTCCTGTCCCAGTGGACTGTTGGGTCCTTCAGCTTCAAAGCCTTGAACTCTTCTCTCAGAATGAGCTGCTTTACAATCCCAGCCTGTGTAGTATGTGCCAACCCTAGCTTCCCAGGATACCAATAATCCAACCCCACATGTACTGTGCCTGAACCCAGCCGGGCCACTTCCTACAGCTTTCCTTGCCCTGCAAATTAACTCCTTCCCTGCTCCCCAGATTTATGGTGATTTTATAAACACCATTATACACATTAATTTAGGATTAGATGCCATTCAGTATACTCAAATTCTGGCTTATGGTAGTGGAAATCCTCACTGAAATTAGAGTTGAGCATATTTATCCAAAGTCAGAATTTGGCCCTTTATTTATATAAGAGAACGGGGGGAAAATCGAAGAATTTACTAAATGTAAGCTTGCCTAAGATGCAGATAATCAATGTGTAATAAACTCCTTTGGTACATATCTGTTCATAAGTCAGTCGAATACTGATGTTTTATTTTTCAGATGAATATAAGATGAATATAAAATGTTTTGCATTTGCTCTCTTTTCAACTTTTGCTTTTGCCCAGTATTACTATTCAATAAAAGATGTCTCCATTGGTGGCATGTGTATTTGCTATGGCCATGCTCGAAGTTGCCCACTGGATGAAACTGCAAAGGTATGCTTTCAATAAAAAGTTTTTCAATAAAAAAAATATTTATCTTCAAGGACAAAGAGAGAAGGATCTTGTGGACAAATTTCAAAGACCATATGCAACTTAAGTCCTTGATTTAACAAGCTACTGTAGATAAGCCCATTGTTGTCAATAAGAGTACTCTTGTGTTTCAACATAGGCATATGTGTAAGTTCCCTGCTTGTTGCTTATCTGGGTGTCACCCAGACTTATGGTATGGATCCTCAGAAGTGTTTAGGCACTTAACTCCCATTGAGTGAAGACTTAGATTTAAGGACTCCATCCTGCAAAGATTTTTACCATATTAGTACCTTTAGTCTCAGGAGTTGGACAGAAATACTCAGAGGGGTAAAGATAGGCCCAATGATAGCTCCTTTAAAGGCTTTGTGGGTGGAACTCTTATTGATACCAGTGGGAGTTCCATGGAATGGTTGCTTAAAACTGTGGTTTTCAACCTTTTTTCATTTGTGGACCCCTAAACATTTTTGAATGGAGGTGCAGACCCCTTTGGACATTTTGAATGGAGATCTGGACCCCTTTGAATTTTAAGTGTGGGTATTTCACATACTTTTGATTGATCAGAGTCATCTTTTGTGGACCCTTAGATATAATCTGTGGATCACCAGGGGTCTGTGGACCACAGGTTGAAAACCATTAGCTTAAAACATCTGGTTTCCAGTGCAAGGGCACTGGAGTTAAAAATCTCTCCATCCTTCTAGTTACATGAGTGAAGGGCAGGATTTTTCTTTTAAATTCAGAGCACGTATTTTGTTGGTATGATTTGAGTAGAAAATGTTAAAAGTCATTAATAGTATTCAGTGGAACAAGGGCAGATCTTAATGATTTTCCTGGTATCCTGTTCCACACTCCATTTTCAGTATGACAAGATTGTCACATTTACTGAATTTCACCACAGAATATATTTTCTGATTGTTTTTCATATGTAATAAGTATCAGAAAAAAACAATGTGAATAAATATGAATGTAAGTTATTTATATAAATATAATGTAAAGTAATATACAGAAATATATTAAATGAACAGTTGTGCAGCTTTTACTCATGCTAAAACCAGAGTTCTTTCCTTTCACATCCTAAATGCGCACAGTTCTCTTGCAATGCATTGTTTTTGAAATCAAACTCCTTTTTTCCCCTCAGAACCTAAATTTAAAAATTCCATTAAATATATTAAAGATAATAATCCTCCAACTCATTCTCAGTTGAATAAAGGATCTAAATAAAAACTTCTCAAGTGAGTGAAGGCATCAGATCTGGGCTGTGACATTCTCACTGAAAATTAATTCTAGTGTTTAAAAATATGTATTAGAGTCAATTTGGTATCAGTTTTCAGGACACTGGGTAAATGATCATTTAAAAATATTTCTACGATTTAATTTTTAGAAACTGCAATGCCAGTGTGAACATAATACATGTGGAGAGAGCTGTAATGAGTGTTGCCCTGGCTACCACCAGAAACCATGGAGACCAGGAACCATTTCTGTTGGTAACACATGTGAGAGTAAGTAAATGCAGTTCAGGTGTCTAGTGGTTCTGAAAATGTTTGTGCCTCTGGTTTGTTCTGCAAGGTGCTGATCCAGCTCGCATGGATCTCCCATGAACTCCAGGAAAAGGCTGGATCTAACCCTAAAACTGCTGATCGCTGTGGTCAAAGAATCACTGAAAGGAAAGGATATGCCAAAATTGATTCAAAATATCAGTTATGTTTGGAAATAGTGTATCTTGACAATTTTGATACTGGTGGAAATATATTGTGATGATAATATCTTCAGAGAGGGTCAGATAAGTTTCACAATGTTGCAAAGAGATTTAACACATTCACATTGGGTATTCTGGGCTCTGCTAGTTTATATTTATATTAAATTATATTTTTATGTTAGCTGTGCATGTATGTATATGTATGTTAAAAGAAATTCCCTAAGTGGTCAACACAGTATTTAACTGTGCTAAATGTCTGATAAAATGGAATAGGTTTTGCCAATAGTTGTATAACTGTGCATGTTGCTGGGGCTTGTTAACAACATTTCCTGACTTCACATCTATAATGCACGTCACAAGCTACAGACATTTAGGAGCCTATTATATACAATTTATAGTTGTAGTGTAAAAGTGGGCTTTTCAGTTGAATCCCCCTTTTATAGAGCTTTTAAAGTTACATTTAGGATTGTAGACTGTTTTACATGTCTACAAGGTCAAGTCTCCTCTAAATTAATCAAGTTTTACAGTAGTATAGCTCCATTGGCTTTGGTGACATTAACTACTGGCTTCAGTGAGCGGGGAATCAGGCTTCCAGTCTTTGGACGTATAGAAGTCTAAATATATAAGACATTTACTAGTGATGACATACTTAATTAAATGCTGATAGGGTTGGCTCAGTGTGAACTATAGAAAACGAACAAAAATGATACTGTTATGACTTGGGCTGTTGGTATGAAAGTTCTCTACCTGGGAATTAAGCTAACCTAGTAATTTTTTACTTAAAATGTAGCCAGAGCAAAGCATAAACCTGAGATAGTGTGCTTTCTTTTTACTTTTTTTTCATTTGAAGTGGGATAATTATTATGAGGCAAGTAAAAAAGTGGATTTTCCTCATCTTTACTTAGAGTGCAACTGTCATAACAAAGCACAGGATTGTTATTATAGCCAGAGTGTTGCGGACCAGAACAGAAGTATAAATATTCATGGCCAGTACATCGGAGGGGGAGTCTGCATAAATTGTACTCAACACACTACAGGAATCAACTGTGAAATCTGTGCTGATGGATATTATAGACCACATAAAGTAAGATTAATACAACTATATCCCAGTGTATCAATTAATAAAGCATTTGTATTGCAACTTATTGTATATTATTAAAATACTTTTCTACAGTTACAGTTTAACTAATAATTGTACCTTGTTCACAAATCTCATATCAGTCAGTGAGTTCAGAGTATCCTGTCTAACATATTCCTTAAAAGATAAGTCTTATAATTAGGGCTTTACTGAATTCATGGCGAAAGTGGGCTGTGTGACAGCTCCGTTAATCTTGCAGGTTCCCCCTCCATGCCCCTCCTGCTGATTGGTGGAGGGGCCCTGCCACTCGCTCCTGATGGGCAGGGAGGCAAAAACTGTGGTTTTAAATATGGCACTGTTTTTGTGACTTGGCCAGTCAGCAACAAGAAACAGGGCCACCAGGACCCCTCAGCCAATCAGCAATGTGGAGAGGTGTATGGGGAAACATGCAAGATTAAAGGAGCTGCTGTGAAGCCCACTTCTGCCATGAATTTGGTAGAGCCCTACTTATAATAGTGAAATCTGAGTTTTGGAGAAGTAATGAGCAAGCATATCATATTCTATTGTACTCCATATCTTTTATAGCAGTGATGCTCAACCTTTTTTTGTACCAGGACCCATTTGTAAACATCAATGGCCAGTCGTGACTCCGTAAGTAGTTTTTGTAGAATACAGCCCTTGGCCCTGCTAGTGCCCCCCGCTCCTGACCTGCTGCCCCCCGCTTCCGGACCCCCAGTGTGTGGAGCAGGGGGTGCATGTGTGGGGCAGGGAGGGTGTGGGAGCCTGAAGCAGTCCCTTGCAGGCTGGAACTGCAAACCCAGTGTTTCTCACATTTTTCTCCTTTAAAGGAGAATCAATTTTTAAAGTTTGTTAATCCATTTTTAAAGTTTATTTGTGACCCTTTCATATATTCTTGTGACCCACTTTTGGGTCGCAACCCACGGGTTGAGAAATGCTGTCTTATAGTATGTACGGCTGCATAGAACATTTTTTTCAGGTCTCAGCACCTTGTACTTTATATTGTTTCTCAGCTTAGTGTTATTAAAATAGAACTTTGTTAATAGTCATACTCCATGAAAAGACATTGAGAAGGTAAATTAAGATACCATATCTTTTTGCATACAGCATGCCCCAGAATATAATATGCACCCAGTTTTTGAAGGGCAGAATGAAGAAAAGATCTTTCCTTGTAGTAAGTAGTTACAAGAGTATCAGCAGCTAGGGAGCTGAGCCTGCTCATTGTTCTGCTTCCTGTGGATCACTGCAGGTTTTACTTTCAGTCTTACCTGGTAAGCGCCAGAACCGGCTCTTATCTTATTTCTCACATATAATGCACATTCCAATTTCCAGCAGCTGCTTTTTGGGGACATATTGTGTGTGAGAAAATATGGTATTGCCATACGTATTAGAACTAAAGAAGATCCTGAATTTAAGACAGCTCCCCAAAAGTTAGATTTTATATATGGAAAATTTATTTTCAGTGTATAGAATCTAATTATTGGAGGGTCATCTTTAATTCATCCCGTACCACTATGGGGGGCGGGCATTGGAGGGACTGGTGATGTGGAGCAGCTTGCCCCCTGTTGTGCATGCGCCCCTCTGCCACCTCCGTGCCCGGCCTGTCCCCACAGCCTCAGGCCCTCCCTTCCCCCTCTGCCCCCTTCCTGTCCCTCTCTCAGCCTCTTCTCCCCTCCACCCCCCAACTTCTGCTTCCATGCTCCACCTTCTGCCTCACCTCTGTTCCCTGTTTCTCCCACCCCAGCCCATGTAGCAGCCATATGGGCTGCTACTACTATGGGTCAGGCTGGGGGTAAGGAAGGGAGGGATAGGGGCAGCAGGGGAGGAGAAGCTACGTGAGGAGGGAAGATGAAAGGAACAGGCCATAGAGAGAAGATGGCAGGGTAGAGATGTAGTGAGGAGGGGCAGAGGGTGGCAGGCAGCAGCTGAGACTATGACTGGGCCCCAGGTAGCACCTGGAGCCTGAGCCACATCACCTGCCTGCTCCAACCCCTCCTCCCCCTCCCCTACACAGGGTGGGGGGGGAACCTCATCTTAGAATAGAGTAAATACAGTATTTAGAGTTCCAGTCTTTGAATCATGTTATACTTTCTTTTTGCTTGATCAAAGAGTCCATTATCATAGTTTTATTTTCCCCAAATCAGTACCTACAGGCAGTCCAGTCACCTCTTAATATTCTCTTTGTTAAACTGAACAGATTGTTGAGCTTCTTGAGTCTGTCCCTGTAAGACTTGTTTCTAGTCCTTTAATTATTTTAGCTCCAGTGGTCCCAAGCAAGAAAAGCAGAGAGGGATTTTTTTTCATATATTTAACTGGAGACTAACAGTAAAAATACAATTTATTTTAGGTTTCTCCCTATGAGGATAACCCTTGCCATCCTTGTGACTGTGATGTGTTTGGGTCCCTGAGTTCCAGCTGCACTAAGGATGATGATCATTCTGACCTTCATCAGGGTAAATGTCCATGGGTGGATCCAGGTTTTGTAAAGGGGGTGAGGGAGCAGTGACTATTACTAGAGTGGTGGCTGCATCCCCACTCCCAGTTCCCTAAGACCCCACTAGGACAGGCAGACCACAGTGTGGAATCAGTAGCCAGGAACTTACCTTAAACCCCTGACACAGGTAAGACACTCCTGTCCTTCCTTCTGCACTCTTGACACATCTTGCTTTCACCTCTGTATGCAGCATGTCCCTTCCCCTCCTCTCCTATTTGCCCTTTCCCTCATTCACTGCTGCCACTGTCCCTGGCTGTCCCAGAGGTGGGGGAGCTCCAGAAACTGATCCTGTCCCACTCTAGCCAGGCTGCACAGAGACCCAAGCTTATCCAAGGACAACAGTGGTAGCAGTGGTGGTTGTGGCAGTGAACTGTTTCCTCCCCATCCCAATTCTGCTCCCAGGCTGGGGGAATGGCTGGAGGTACTGGGTATGGATGAGGAACCTGCCTGCTACCTCTGGCACAGCTGTCTTGGGCTGAGCCCAGCTCCCTGTGCAGGCCTGCTGGAGCAGACAAGAGCAGTTCTCCCCACTCCTGGGGCAGCTGAAGTTAGCAGGGGCAGCAACAGCAGTGGGTGGGATTGGCAGGGTGGGGCTGCTGAGCATGGAGGGGAAGGGAGATAGGGGAATTCTTACTTGTTTCAGCAACTTTAAGGAAGTCTCTGGCTGCTGCTTCAGTGGTGTGGCCTGAAAGGAGAGTGTGATTACTCCACTGCATCCCATTTGGATCTACTTCTGTAGGTGTCTATGAAATGCTTTTACTGTTAACTTCAAATCTAGCTGGTAATTCTGGAACTGGGAGCTCAAAGATGTGGACAAATAATTGCTGTCAGTCCATGCTGATTAGGATACAATGAAACAAACAAATATCCTCTCTTACCGCTCAAGCTCAGTGAATCTGATACTCTTCACATGAAAAAAACAGATATACTAAAAGAGTTAGATAAATGAGGCAGTTAGGCTATTTTCCATTAACCACATTTTGACCCTTCCCTTTTTTTATTATTTATATATTTCAAGGGACTCAGCCAGGTCAATGTGAGTGCAAAGAAGGTTACTCAGGAGAAAAATGTGATCGCTGTGCATTTGGCTACAGGGGCTACCCAAAATGTGTGCGCTGTAACTGCAGCGTGGTTGGCAGTATCAACGATGACCCATGCACAGAACCTTGTCTTTGCAAAGTAAGCGTGCATCTAACTCTCACTTTGATTTATTGCAAAATATGTAGCTGGGGTTACAAATGCATTTTAATAAGATAAATTAATTCCCTGGAAAAAATGCATCCTGAATTCCGAGCAAGTAACACATTTTCACAAGCAAGTGATGCTGAAGCAGTCCTTCTAAACAGGGACTAAAATGAGAATGAGCTGCCTATCTGAGTTACTGAAGGGAAACTGATAAACTGTGAAGCATGATTTTGCATATTCCTGACAAACTTTCAAATAAAGGCAAGTGCCAGAATGACATTAGAACTTCTGTGTGCATGCTCTGTGATGGGAGGAGGAGTGGGTGATTTTGTTTGGGGAAAGGCTGGCATTATTCTTGAAAACCAATGTTCTTGTTAAAAGTATGAAGGATGTTTGTATAACTTAATTTATCTGAAACAATGTGACAACAGTTTGAAAATACATTGGAAAAGCCTTGCCGGATTAAAGGGATTTGCAAAATATTTTCTTTGGTAAGCACACATTTCTGATATCAATAAATGTAAGCCCCAAGGTGTTTCAGACAGTGATGGTTTGCAGAAGTTCAATATAAAGTTTTAATATTTGCAGCCATTACCTGTAATTTTCATAATCAAATATTGGTTAATTGTATATGTACTTGTTGCCAAGTATAATATTATATACTATCTGAACAAAACAACAGTAATTTGCTTGAATTTTTTAAAACACTGTTCAGGGTTTTTACATCATTTATCTGATCAAAAATACTGTGTGTGACCAAATGCCCCAACAAAAAAAATCAGAATGGAAATAGGAAGCAGACTTGTGGGACAAGCTAAACAAGAAACAGAGATGGTTGCTATATACTGGTGTAAATCAGGAATAATTGACTACAGTCAGTGAAGTTATCTGGTGCAAATTTGGTCTAAATTAGACAACAATATGGTTGTTTTAGGTATGTTGGTAGGAGTGCCCTTTTCAGAACCGCTAAAATCAGATCATCAAGAGGAGTAGCAAGTAAGCTATTCATTCTGAACTGATTGAAAGAGGCACTCACATGCCTCAGAAAATAAATGGAGAAGGCTGTTCATGCCAGCTTATGCATCCTTTCTGTTTTAGCAAGTGACACAAGTTGTTTAATTTTTTTTTCTAAGCCTGGCTGAAATAATAACCTAACAGCACTCAGATGCCTCAGAAATTGGAACAAATGAATAGAGCACATGTTTTCTTTCATATGTTTTCTTTCAAATCATATATATGATTTATTTTTAAGCCAATCATTATTTTGGAGGGTGTCACTCATGCCTTTCCTGGCATGTGAGGTTGACAGTACTGCAAACAGCAGGAAGATAGAAGTTGCAATTTTGAGATATGAAACTGGCTGTCCACTGTAACCCCCAGGTGGATCCAGCCTGGTTGGATCATCAGGTTCAAAGGGTAGTAGTCAATAGCTCGATGTCTAGCTGATAGTCGGTCCTAGGGCTGGTTTTGTTCAGTATCTTCATCAATGACCTGGAAGATGGTATGAATTTCACCTTGAGCAAGTCTGCAGATGGCACCAAGCTGGGAGAATAGTAGTTACACTAGAAGGTAGGGCTAGGATTCAGAGAGACCTTAACAAATTGGAGGATTGGACCAAAAGAAATCTCATGAGGTTCAATAAGGAGAAATGCAAAGTCCTGTGCTTAAAACAGAACAATCCTATACACCAGTACAGGCTGGTGACCAACTGACTAAGGAGCAGCTCTGCAGAAAAGGACCTGGGGGTTACAGTGGACAATAAGCTGAATATGAGCCAACAGTGTGCCCTTGTTGTAAAGAATTCTAACGGCCTGCTGAGCTGCATTAGTAGGAGTGTTGCCAGCAGATCCAAGGAAATTATTATTCCCCTCTATTCAGCACTGGTGAGGCCACATCTGGAGTATTGTACCCAGTTTTGGGCTCCCCACTACAGGAATGATGGGGACATATTGGAGAGAGTCCAGTGGAGGGCAACAAAAATGGTTAAGGTGCTGGGGCACGTTACATGTAAGAAGAGACTGAGGGAACTGGGCTTTTTTAGTCTGCAGAAGAGAAGACTAAGTGGGGATTTAATAGCAGCCTTCAACTACCTGCAGCGTGGTTCTAGAGAGGATGGTGCTAGATTATTCTCAGTGGTGGCAGGTGATAGAACAAAGAGCAATCATCTCAAGTTGTAGCATGCGAAGTTTAGGTTAGATATTAGGAAAAACTTTATCACTAGGAGGGTAGTAAAGCACTGGAACAGGCTACTCAGAGGATGCAGAAAATCTCCATCCTTGAAGGTTTTAAGACCGAACTAGACAAAGCCTTGGCTGGGATGATCTAGTTGGGGATGGTCCTGCTTTGAGCAGGGGATTGTATTAGATTCATAGATTCATAGATGACCTACTGAGGTCCCTTCCAACCCTAATTTTCTATGACTCTATGATATTCCGTAGTTTAGAAAAGTTGGGTTTTGGGAGATGGTCCCTCACCTAGGTAATAGCTGTTAGTTATGGAAAGAGACAAAGGGTCTGCCAAGCTTGCCTACTGCTCTGCAATTAAAATTTTTGGTTAGTCCTTCTCATTTGTGTATGCCTGTGTTTACTGTATGCGGTGATTGCTACAAAGGCAAATATTTGGGCACCTGTACTTAGGCTTTCATTTCAGCACAAAGTGCTTCAGTCTGAGCAGCTATGAATCTAAGTCATTGCCACTGAAGTCTCAGTGCTATCCAGAATGGAGGTTGGGCAGCAGCTATATTCCATTGCATTTTTGTCAGTATTCATCTTTTCTATGGAATGTTTATATTTTGATGAATTGGAAAAAATGATGAATGACTGTTTCATTGGTATTTTTCCACCCAGTTTTGAGCTCACTAAGTCTCATTCAGCATCACCTAGTGTGCTGAAGTCTGCTTTCTTTTATATCCTTCCTAATGCAATTATATGTCAATCCCATCTAATCCATAGTATTTGCCACCATAATAGTGCTGCTATAAAACAAATGTTATATTCTATTTGCAGGAGAATGTAGAAGGTGAAAACTGTGACCGCTGCAAAGCAGGATTCTACAATTTGCAAGAAAGAAATCCTCAGGGCTGCACAGAGTGTTTTTGCTTTGGGGTTTCTGATGTCTGTGACAGCCTTGCATGGCCCATCAGTCAGGTATTTTACTATTACAGGCCATTAGGTCATGGATATAGATTCCCTCAGGCAGTTTTATAAATTCAGTCCATCTTCCATTTTGACATGCTACCAAGCTCATGCAAAATTCTGGCATTTGATTCCATCCTAACAACTGGATTGTCTTGGTAAACTCACAACTTGGACGTTGGCTGCAGGTATACCTATTCGGTCATAACTTCCTGGAAGCACTGGAAACTGTAGTTCTTGCCACACTCATTAAAATTGTTCAGTGTTCATTGAAAAGTGGATTTGCTTGGTGAAGACTAATGTGACTGATGATCTTAGCTCAAGTAGTCTTTGTGCTTAGGGAATAAAGGTTATAAATGCCACTAGACCCTGAAGAAGTGTATAGGCAGAGGAGGAGCTTCTTGAGCAGATTTCCTCACCTTGTGCCTTTTTAGCAGTTAGTTACAATGAAGGCCGGAGTATTTTGCATGTTAAAAATAAAAACCAGAAAATAGAAGGAAGTGTGTTACATTAGTTTTAAGTCATCCTTCCTCCAGCTCCTCTCTGTCTTTCCACTGCCATCAGTTTTAATGTGCTTGTGTGACTCTTCCAGTCGAGACGATTAGGTTTTATCCTTGTCTCCTCTTTTGTATTCTTTGGCAAATAACTTCATCTGTCTGTTTCTGTTACCCATATACAAAATGGGGGTAGTAGTACTTACTACGCCTCGGTGTTGCTGAGCAGTATTGTTTGTGAAGTGGTATGTGATCCATGAAGACAAGACACCTTAGAAGGGGAAAGTACCATATTTACTTTACTATAAGATGACCCTGGTTATCAGATGATCCGTCAATAATTAGATTTTATATATGGAAAAATTATAAATTTGATATAATTTTTCAGGTATAGCATCTAATTACTGGAGTTTTGTCTTGAATTTGTTCCCAAAAGCATGTTTGATCAGTATGTGCTATGTGTTTTGTAGTCATGCTCAGTTTAGGCTGTATTTAATCAACTTCATATTTTCCATTACTGAGCATATGCTGCTTTTAGCAGCATTTCAAAGATAGTGTATTTCATGCAGTTTCCATATATGCAAATGTAAGATGAGGGGCTTATTCTGATGCTGATCAAGGGAGAAAAACCTTGTCTTGTATTCAGGTAAATGTGGTATTCTATCTTAATTCATTTTATATTATAAAATACAGTGGACTTGATATTGCTCCCAGTTACACTGCTATAATTTTGCTCACCTCCAGTGAAGTTAGTGTATTAACATTAGTTTCAAACTTGTTTTAAGTAAGGACAGACTCAGGTCCTTCTTATGTTTATTGTCTCCTGTAGTAGTGAAATTTTACCTATAAAGATGACTTTCCCAACAATATAAATTTGATTTAATTAATTAGGTTTTCTTTTTTTTCCTAAGGTGTCAGATATGGGTAGGTGGTTGGTGACTGATCTGTATAATCCAAACACTGTACAGCCTCAGCAAGGTCAGCTTGAAAGATCACATCAAATAAGTATCAACAATACGATGGCTATGAAAATACTGAAGCCCACTTACTACTGGTCAGCACCTGAGCCATATCTAGGAAATAAAGTAAGTTTTCAAATAAAAAGAACTGCTTCTATATTTTTATTATATAACTTCTGTAATTTTTCCATACTGTAGTGCTCTAAAAATCCTCTGTTACATTTTAACATAATACGTTCTGAGTAGAATGATTTTACTTTGAGTGAACAACAGATACACTGTGAATTTATCTAAATGTCTTTAATACATTTTTCTTGAGTTCTTTATATATGGTATGAAACTTCATTTCACAATTGTTATGTATTCTTAATTAACTTGAATATTGCATGCAATCAGCAATTGTTTTATGGATACCTTGTATAGATATATTGTTAATTCAATCAAAAATCACATTTGGTCACACTACTCCAATAATAAATTATGCACCAAAAATATGTTAGAAGACCATTGATAAAGCATTGAATTCAAGAATTGAAGAGTTCAGAAATGATAGAACCTTAATTAAATCCCAGGAGCACAGTCGTTAACCACAGGCTGCTGTTCTCATTTCAGTCTCTTCCAATCTACTAGCTCCCATCTCAGCCGTAGAGTCCCCTTCTTTGGTTCCCAGTGCCATTCTCTTTTCCCAAATAGCCCACAGAGTCCTGTGCTACCTACACCCACTCCCAGGATGCTGGTCCAAGTCAGTTTTACTCTGCCTACTGATGCAATTCCCAGTCCCAGTTCCATTACTCTACTTTCTCTTGGCAGAGTCTAACGCTGGTGCTTTCCCACTCATCTGCCACCCCAGTTCTTGGTTCCCATTACTTCCTCTGTTGCACCCAGTCTGACTCTTTC